TTTGTTTGTTTGTTTGTTTTTAACGCTGTATAGCAATGTTCCAGCTACTTGGACTTCACACGGCGAGGGGACACCAGAAACGGGCTCCACACATTGTACCCATCGTGCTGCAAGAACCACGTTGTGCTAACTCCAGAAAAACACTTTTCGAGTTATAGGCATTTGAAAGTTTGAACCTTACTATATTTTATGATTGTCTATGTATTCAGATCATATTTCGCATGGATATACTTACATGATTCGGGAAGCCACATATTCTTTCATATGTTAAAGAAAACGCATATATTTTCCAAAAAATCACTTTTTTTGTTTTGAGTTAGAACAAATATGTTAAAAGTTTTCAAAAAGTTGTAGTTCCACCTTGTTCTAAGCGCCATTTAGTGTATGGTTGGGTTAAAAAATTTATTTCGTAAGTGATCGTCAAATGTAATTACTCAATGAAAGGACTCTCTGAGATTAGGAACAAATCTTGTTATTAGAAACATCTTTTTGCAACAAAAACAAACCAAAATCACAAACATTACAACGCTTTGGATCTGAGAAAATGATTCAAGGACCACCCTTACAAAAATTGCTTTCCCATCAAAATCACATCATAAACGCAAACTTTGAAAGATACAATGACTTCTTCTGTATTAGTTTATGAACAGGAGCACCAACTGTAACAATAGACAGTGCTTTTATTTCCAGCTAAAAGAAAATACCCCCTCTGCAAAACATTCAGCATTAACAGTTTAAGGCACACCACACGTGCACTGCAGTGGATAATTTGAATAGCTTCTTGCTTATAATCATCATTACAAACATAACTGAAATAATGGACATACCATCCTGTTGCTTTAATTTTTACATCAGCCTAACTCAGCAATAAACTTAATATGTCTTAAAAGGACCGCCATGAACCTTTTGTCAGCTGGAGACATGAACTTCATCATTGCTTTTACATCATCAATCTTTTCTTTGGTGAGTTCTGGTTTCTTTGTGATAGTTTTAGTTTTAGGCCACTCAATGGATAACGGACTCTGCACAGACAAACAAACTGCATAGTTTCTTGGACGGATGCTGACTGTATTCCATGGTTCTGTGAATGAAGTCTTGAATTCCAGGCTGTAGAGGTCATCCTTCCTTAGCATTATGAACTTCACTTTGGTGAAGGGCACTTGTTTCATATTCGTGAGTTTAGCTGATTCCATGTATTTCTTAAACTGGTTGTCCCTCATTTGAATGATGTGCATAGGTGCTTTACTCCAAGCTCTTTTCATGGCTTTAATGACTCCTAATGGACTGAAGATTTCATGATGCTCATCTGTTTCTCAATGCGACTGTGGATACTATCCACTTCCTGAATAGAAGAATGACCTGGTTCACAATATTTATGTTCTATTGACTCAACAGAATGATGAAGCATAAAGTCCTTCAAAGCAAAAACCATACCATAATTTTTGTTCTGTGCAACACAAGAATCCGACCACAGCACGAGATGTTTTGGGCAATGCTCATCATAAATCTTTTCCAAAATTGCAATCAAGGAACTTGCCAGTACATTGGCACCCCTCCCAGCTTCCTTCTCGTTCCATATTGCACAATAAGCAGATGAATCAAGAGAACAGTGTGCTGTCAGGTTATAAACGCCGATTTTACGTCTGTAGAAGAAACTAGAGATGTTTGCTCTGGGACAGGATATCACATTCTCAAGATCAAAGCAAACCACAGCTTCTGTGCTCTGTCGATCCCTGTCTCGCTCTGCTTTTGTTGCTACCTTTGATGCCAGGTGACGTTCATGTCTTGAAGAGAGTTCCTCATCAAGGAGGTTGAACTCCTCTTTTATCCTGTACTCTTCACATCTATCGCATCTATCCTTTTTGGGTGTATGGAATGCCAAATTAAACTCACTGTTGAAAATGGTGCGGTAAATGTTTTCTTTGACAGGTAGCCGATTGTTTTGTTCACATTGTTCAAGGTAAAGTCTGTACATTTTGGTTATAGAAAGGCCTTGTTCCAGATACTCCCTTTGTGTTTTGGTCCTGCAGTAGTGGGATTCGACCCTAGGAAAAGAGTCAATGTGTGACCGGACAAACGTTTTCTGTTCAAATGTCACTCGGTCTTTAGTCGACTTCCCTTTCATGTCAGTCTGCTTTGGAGTGGTGGTATTCAGATTATGTTTGACTTCAAAATAGTATGAAACTCTTCTCTGTGAAATGTTGAGTGTGGACAGATGGTATTCCTTGCAGACACGGATTCTACTTTCATTGATGTTGAAGAAATATCCAAAAGAAAAGGTTCTTCTGCTTTGGCCTCTAGTTCGCTGTCTTTTCTTTTCCATACTGTCTACAGTTTTATTGTAGAAGTGATTTTTCTCATCATCTGATAAGGACCAAAATGAATTGAATACTTGTTGTCTTTCAACAGTAGAAATTGTTCTTCCACATTTAAATTTACAAGTCCCAATACAGTCCTTGGGTGTTTTGATCTTTCGTTCTGGAACATTTTTTCCCCTGGCACTTGTGTAGCTCTGGCCAGACTGTCGTTTCTTTTTTCTTTGATTTTTCGTCCATTCACATGGGTGACGTTTTCGTTTCCTACTTCTACAAGAACTTGCAGGCATGTCCTCATCTTCTGTGATCTGTTCCTGCGAGTCCTGAGAGTCCTGTGAGTCAAGCGTGAACTCGTCCATCTCAGCTTTGTTCACATTTTGGGTAAGGGTGGCAATATCAGCAGCAGCACCAGAAGATACTTCCACTACAGACGAGACGTCAAGATGATCTTGCTCCAGTCGGATAATTGGTTCCACTTCATGAATTTCCTGCGAATCTGTTGAATCATCAGGAACAGTTGAGGTGACCATCATCAGCACATCGGTTAAGTTGTAAGTATCAGCCATGATTAGACTTTCTTAATACATAACACGAAAGGTGCAGTCAACAAATCGATCAACAATGAGATGTGTAAAGTCAACCAATTGGACGGTGTTTTCGAGAGTCAAGTCAAAGAACAGCAGGTTTGGATGGGCAACCTCAAGGAAGTCGAAGCAACTTGTAAGATCAAAAGTAATAGCAAAAGCTTCCAGGCAACAGCACTTATTAGTGTACTCAAAAATGTCTTTCAGCTTTTTCGGGGACACCTTTGTAAAATTGAAATTGACCAGCAGAAGACTCCGGCAGTATTTGATGATTTCAAAGTCTTCATCAACTAACAATGAGCAGTGCTCCAAGTTCAAAGTTTCGAGGTTGGATACACTGACTAGGAAGGCAAGAGTAGATGTTTTCACATAGGATAGGTCCAACTTGGTAAGATGTTCCGCCCTCACTAGTCCTGTTGTCAAGGAGTAATCTACCACAGAGACACTTTCGTGGAATGAAATATGGCAAAGATTCAAAGTTTCAAAATACTTTGATTTCTTAAGAATTCGATGAAATTCCACAACAGAAAGTTCTTGAAAAGACAGATCTATATGTTTCCAAAGCTGCCGAACTGAATGTACTAGCGTATGTAACGATTTTGATGTTCTGGCTACATTTTGCAAAAGATGTTGAATAGGTACAAGGAGGAGAATTTTTACAAGAACTTCATTAGGAAGATCACTCAATCTGAAAAATAAGAACACAAACTTAGTTTTGCAATAGAGAATGATATTGTTCTATGTCACAGTTATAACCAATAAAAATTCCATAAAAATTAAGAACCAAAATGTACTATCTCCCAACTGAGATTAAAAAGCATTTACTTTGCAGGAAAATATATTTGGCAAAGTAACACTGCAATAAAAGACACAAGTTAAGGCTAGACTGCTAATATACAGAAAAGAGATGTGTGATGACGGTATTTGATAAAATTATTAAAAATGTACGCACCTTTTACATGTGACTTCCATCTACGTGCGATTTCCAGAATGTTCTAAATCCTCATAATGTGACCAAAGGAAGCTATATGATTGGTCATGGATTTAGAATAGTTTGGAACTGAGATTTTGGACCAAAACTGGAGATAGAACAACGTGGTTCTGAGGGCACGCCATGGTTTCAAAAGGTGCGTTGGTTGGTGGGTTGGTAAACGCCGCACTCAGAAATGTATCGATGGTCTGTGAACAATCGAGATTTACCGGTGATCAACAGAATGGGCATCGATCTCCTCAGTTTGGATACTTTGTGTAAGAGAACAAATGTGAATTGTGAAAGTGTCTATCCATAAAAAGTGTTCCTCTTCGTGAAATAATTGATTTATTAATTACAGAAGATGGAAATTAATCCTGTTTAATATGTGAATTAATAAGTTGATGATGTAACTTGTAACTGTGTTCCGAGGACTGAGTTTCGGGTGCTTAAAGTGTTGTCAGGTGCTGGTTGAAACCCAAGATTGAAACAATGTGTGAATGTGAGTTGCGATGTCTGGCTCAAATACAATCTGGGCAATCATGGAAGAGTGAGTGAGTTAGTATTGTTTTAAGCCGCTTTTAGCAATACTCCTGCGATATCACGGCGGGGGACACCAGAAATGGGCTTCACACATTGTACCCATGTGGGGAATCGAACCCGGATCTTCGGCGTGACGAGCGAACGCTTTAGCCACTAGGCTACTTCACCGTCCCTGCTTAAAGTGAAGCAGGACGCGGGTTGTTTGGCTTTGGTATAATGCCAATTGTCTGAACATCTGGGTGGTGTCCAATGAATGAACGCCGCTTTTATCAATATTCCAGCAGTACCATGGCAAGGGACACCAGGAATGGGCTTCGGACATTGTACATATGGTTTGAAAGGGACACTTCTGAAGTAACCCAGGAATTGCCGCTCGTCATCGCGCGTTAGACATCCCTCTAAGCAACTTGCATTACCGTGAATGATTATCAAATTATTTAAACGATAGGTCTAAGAAAAATAGCGAATACGTACCTACGTGTAAATGCACACTATTGCCACACACGCACGCACATGCACACGCACACAATCTAATCAACAATGGCACACACAAAAGGCAGAGTTTCTCTTTCACTTTTTCACGAACTCGAAGAATTCTATCAAGACCGTGACAATAGCAGATTTGCTTCAGTAGTGGAAAGGCGCTATTATGGGAATATTCAACATCTGAAAATAATCTCAGATCACAAAACTGTAAGTAATATTAGACACTCATGCATTTGTGTGTTTGTTGTTCAACGTCGCACTCAGCAACGATTGCATGTGTCAATCTTCCTCGGTGCCTGTTTATAATTCTTGCTCTTGGCGGGTTTTAAGAGTTGTAAGAATTTGTTCTCGATCCTTTTCACTTTGTGAATTTAACATGTTTTAACGTAACTGTTCAGAATCAGTCTGAAACATAAAACAAAATTGGAAAAAACCCAGACAATATGGAGTTGAACTGAGACTTTCTTATGAAACAAAACATGGTCTGTAAATTATCGCGTCTGGACCAGACAATCCAGTGACCAACATCATGAGCATCAGACAATCCAGAAATCAGCTCTATGGACATTGATCTGTGCAACTAGGATACGATGGCGTGTCAACCCTGATCACCCGATCCCGTTATTTGCGTCTTACGACAAGCATGGGTTGCTGAAGACTGGTTCTAATCCGGATATGGCGAGATAAATAGATAAATAAGAGATGGGTCATTCTTCGAACTCTTGGTAAAAGCACGCCGCTTTTAGCAATATTCCAGCAATTTCACGGCGGGGGACACCAGAAGTGGGCTTCACACATTGTACCATGGCGGCGGTCTGTAAGTAATCGAGTCTGGACCAGACAATCTAGTGATCAATATCATGAGCATCGATCTACGCAATTGGGATACAATGACATGTGTCAACCAAGTCAGCGAGTCTGGTCAGCGAGACCACCCGATCCAGTTAGTTGCCTCTAACGACAAGCATGTGTTGCTGAAGATGAATTTTAACCCGGACCTTAACAGGTCTTAGTTGAACATTCAATTCTGATCTTCGCTCTCCCTACCTACCCCTCAATTCCCAGATATCTTTAGAAATTTATTTCCTTTAAAGCAATATTTCAGCGAACTACGTTTATAACGAAGACTGTTATATCGAACTGACGGATATAACGAACTGTCATATTCGTTTCCCTCAACGTGTAGGATGATGTAGTCGAAATGCGTTTAAAGATTTGTTGGCTTGTTGTTTTACGCCGCACTCAGCAATATTCCAGCTATATGGTGGCGGTCTGTAAATAATCGAATCTGGATAATCCAGTGATCAACATCATGAGTATCGATCTATGTAATTGGGATACGACGGCGTGTCAAATAAGTCAGCAAGTCTGACGACAAACGTGGCATGGGTTCAAGTTTAATCTGGACCTTCACCGGAACATGAAGTATGTATGCACTCATGCGTTAATCTATTTTTCATTCAGATGCTAAAGTACACCATCGACAGAGACAGAAACAGATGTCCTGCAGAACATAACCACGACCCAGTTCACACATTTTGTATTCCAGGTATGTACGTGCCGAACTCTATTAGTTGGCAGTTTGGGTTTTTCTTTTTTGTTTAAGGCAACACTCAGCAATATACTAGCCATATAAATAGTAAATAAAAAATAATCGAGTCTGGACCACACAATCCAGTGATCAACAGCATGAACATCGATCTACGCAACTAGGTTTAGATCTAGTTTGTTGTTAAGCGGCAAACCCCAACTAATATATATGGCGGCGGTCGCTAAATAATCGAGTCAGCACCAGGCAATCCAGTGATCAACAACATTAGCATTGATCTAAATGGGTTACGATGACGTCAACCACGTCAGCGAGCCTGGCCACCGATCCGTTAGTCGCCTCTTACGACAAGCATGGGTTACTGGAGACCAAGTTTATCCCAGGTGCCAAGGACCCACAGTAAAATACATATATATACTGACATTCAAAATATAGTACGCACATGTGGTGTACTTTTTTTTTTACTTCAGTTTACTAAAGAAGACGCCAATGTTTACAGCTATTATTGGAGTTGAGCATGGCAATCTTTACGAATTGTAGAATTGCTAGGTGAAGCCCAATTCATTACGGTATTGCCAACCACCATCCTGGTATTAATATTAAAGTCAGTTTACAAACAAATTACGTATCCGTTAGACCTGGGTTAGAATTGGTCTGTAACCCAACCTGCTCTAAGAGGCGAGTAACGGGTTTGGGTGGTCAGAGTGGTCTGACTGGTTGGCACATGTCATCGTATTCCAGCTGTGTAGAATACTTGATTGTCTTTTCAAGGCTCGATTATTGAAACACCATATAGCTGGAATATTGCCGCGAGTTGGGTTACAACAAACAAAACTCAACCTTGCCTGCCAATGGGACAATCACAGTCCTCTGTATTAAAATTACTGGATATTCGTAAACATGGTTTCACACTTTCCGACTTTAACACAGGATCCACCTTTGTGCGAACACCACCTTTGTACGAACACAACAAGCTTATGTAATGAATCATATGCCTAAAATGTTCCACCCTTCTTTGATATGTATTTCACTCCAGAATATAAATATATTGTCAATTATTGAATAACCTACTCTAAATCCAGCCTATTTTACTTCTTCCTTATGAAAACAGTTTGCCAAGAATACCAATCTATTATTGAGAATATTTGTGTCAACATTTCAAAAAAACACTTAATATACATACCGTTTTTGCCTCCTTTCATATAAAGAGATAATTAAGTATGGCCCTGTGCCCAGATAAAGTTAACTTTCCTTTATCGTATAGAGTGTTAAATATAATTTCTAAACAATTGTTTAAATTGAATCAAGTAGATCTTTCTTATCTAGCGTTGGTGTCATGTATTTTTCTTGTCCATCCCCATGCTATAATTTGTATTTCAGACAGTGCTACTCCCGGTTTCCAGGTGAAACTGGGGTTTGATGATAACTCCCTTGAAGCCACTGCTTATTATGATGAAGATACACTCAAGGATGACAAGTACCAAAGAGGCATATGGTACATAGTTAAGGAGGCATGTATTCCTCTGCAACGTGACAGGACTGGTCTTGACAAGGGTGGGTATTTTATGACGTGAGTGAGTGACTAGGTTGGTGGGTGAGTGAGTAAGTGAGTGAATGAGTGAGTAAGTGAGTGAATGAGTGAGTGAGTGGCTTTTTTTCCAATAGGCGATGTCATTATCAGCAGATGATTCGCAAACTTGGACATTAAAAAAAGCAGCACAATGTCCTATACAAAGTAACGACTAAAACGAAAGTAACGGTCCAAGCAAATTGGATACAGTGACATGTGTCTACCAAGTCAGCGAACCTGACCACTCAATCCTTATAGTCGCCTCTTTAGACTAATTCTGACGCGGATCATCGCAAGTTTGTCTAATAAAGTTTATTATAATCTATATATTTATATAGCGCCGATTTCCAGCTAGGCTGCTCACATGCGCTTTTGTTTTGTTTTTCCCTCAATCACAGGATGTTTGATAACTGTGTTAGCTTCTACACGAAATCGTCGCATGTATTTGCTATACGAAGTTGTCTATCCATAAAAAAATTACCCCTCTGCATATGTTTTCTTTATTACATTCGGTATATGTACATCACTTCTACTTATTCCATTACTGATTGATAATAATACCGAAACGGCGCGCCCACGAAATATCCCAATATGCTACCCATCATAAGGCTTGTCCTTATCAAGTACCCAGTTTAACGTTCGGGCAACAGCTCGAAATAACGGCGACGAATCTTCGACCTTCTGATGGGGGCTGACCCAATGAGTGAGTGAGTGAGCGAGTGAGTATAGATTTACGCAATTTTCCAGCAATATCACGGCGGTGGACACCGGAAATGGGCTTCACGCATTGTAAACTTGCATGGAATCGAACCCGGGTCTTCCACGTGACGAGCGAACGGTATAACCACTTGGCTACACCACCGCCCCGCTGATCCAATGACTTTACAGAGAAGCTAAAAAGCTTTGCACATGGAAACTCTACCTTGTGAACTACTTGTGTTTGTTAAGAACAAACAAATTAAAAGGCAGAGTTCAAACTTTGCTACAGATCAGCAAAACATATTGGCTTTCCAGAGAGGTAATATTTGAATTATGAGTTTAAAAAAGAACTATGTGGTTTTGCCTCACACTTATTCATTGTTGACAGAAAAGTTTCTCGATTCAGACACGTTTGGATCAATGACCATGGACTATGATGATTCCATATTCGATATCCCGTCGATCTGCCCTACAGTCATCCCACCGATGGTACGGTTTGAACAATTTTAAGTCAATATAACTAAAATAGAAAGTTCCACCAAATGAAATATTTGTCTTAACAATGCACAAAACGGATTTAAGGGCAGAGTGGAGAATAGCCAATATGCCAGAGACACTAGCTGGCTCATCATTTTACTAGAAGAAGGGATATATTCATGTGTTCTCAATCAATGAGATTGAGTCATTGACCCAATACTGCTTGTTGTTATCTATTTCAGAAACAGAAGGCAATAAACTTCTTTGAAGTTATCCGTTACAATACCTCCACTGAGAAGTTGAGTCAGTCACGTTTGTGAGCCACATAACCGATATGGAGAAATGTGTACTCTGCTGGTAATTCCCCATATATACTCCAAAAAAAATGTAGGGGAATCTGAACTTTAAATTTAGATAGGAAGTTAAAGTCTTAAGAAACTTTTGAAAGACGTCTTGTGAACGCACCACCATTTCTCTATGTCACCACCCCTAAACGCAATGCATGGGGTGTAAAACTTTAGGGACCACGAACATTTAATATGGACACGAGTTAAGACAAAAATGACAAAATCGTAAATTGATCTTACAATCTTCATATAAAACCATCCATATAATTTATTATTTGTTTTTTTTTCCATTAAAACGTGGTTCTGCAAGCTACACTAACGTGGAATTAGACAGCTGGATGAAAAACATCGGCCAGAAATGACAGTTAAAAGATTATGGCGGCCATCTTGGATTTTTGATTGGCCAACGTTATTTTCTGAACAGGAAGCCCATGGTGAACGATCATGCCAATTTTGGTGCTTGTGTCACAAAGTGTACGATTCGGCCTATTTTGGTCTGTTATCCGCTCTACTAGTGCACGTGCACAACGCAGTAGCCCAATACACGTACATAGGGTGTGATTTGATATTTTGAGGTACTGTAGAAGGTCGATAAATCACTGTAGGCCATTCGTTGTGACAGTCATCTTGTCATCTTGCATAAGGAAGTGCAAGTGTTGATGTACTCTCAAGACATTCATTATTTTCATATCAAAATTAATTGACTCCGATATATTTCCGAATTGTTTCAATCGTAAATTAAAAATGAAGTTCCCCTACTTTTTTCAAGAGTATAGTTGATCATCTGTCCGTTTGTTCCTTGTTGTAGTACATGAAGCGCGTCAAAGCTGTATAAACTAGAACCACTCCTGATATTTGGGACGCTTTTTGTTCTTATTTGACCAGCAAACGTGAGTTTAGTTTCCGCCGCTTTTAGCAATATTCCAGCAATATCAAGTCGAGACACCAGAAATGGGCTTCACACATTGTATCAAAGTGGGGAATTGAACCCGGGTCTTCGGCTTGACGAACGAACTCTTTTACCACTCCGTCTAGAAGGAAGGGTAGAAAGTTACTCTCAGTAACAGAGTCATTGCAAAACAGTAGGAGAACTTGAACAGCAATTAGTCGCAGCTGTCAAGTGGGGGACATGGTGGTTCAATCCGCTAACACCTATCTCTTCAAATTTGCCCGAACGACTACCCCTCAATCTAGGACGCTGGCTATTGCATCCTTTAAATGTAAGTCGTATGTCCCCAATCCATTCCGGTGGTACACCAACCAAATATATGGACACGGATCCACGTCATTCCGTGCTGATAAGTAAGTGCTGGTTGCAGGCAGGACGTGAAGTGTGAAAACTATTACTACTACTACTACTACTACTACTACTACTACTACTACTACTACTACTACTACTACTACTACTACTACTACTACTACTACTACTACTACTACTACCACTACTACTGCTACTGCTGCTGTGACCTGACACGTATCAAATATGTCCAACCAATTTGAGCCGCATGGTGACAACAATCGGCTTGTACCTGGGGGGTCAATAACGTTCTCATTGACATCCAGTGTGGTTTCAGAAAAAACAACAACATTTCATTAAAAGTCATGGAGTTCTCCTAGGCGGCAAATGAACATGGACATTAAAAGCTCCACTGACTGACTGACTGACTGAGTTTGTTTCTACGCCGCGTTTAGCAATATTCCAGCAACATCACGGCGGGGGACACCAGAAATGGGTTTCACACATTGGGCCAAACCTCCTTGTTTATAAACTGAGTCAAAAAAGAAACTTCACAAAATGTAATTTGAAAAATAATGAATAATTTTTCTCTGATGATCCACCTATGTATCCGAAATGGGATCCCTATCTTTTGACGCTAGAAAAAAGTTAGCAAAACCCACTCAAACCCATCCATTCGTCGTGCAAATGACGTTAGTGCCAAATCAGGTTTTGCACGTGCAGTCGATCACGTGATCTTCGCATCGAAGTTTTCTTCATATGCACGTGTTTTGCATTGGCCTCAAGAATTGAAAAAAACCCTTTTAAACCACAGTTCTAAAGGTACTTGAAATGCCACGATTGTCAAATGTGCAACGTGAACGTGCCGTTGGCATGTTGCAAGCGGGAAGATCAGTTATTGATGTCGCAAGAGCAATGGGATGCAGCCGTCATACTGTGTATGACTTGCGAGGTCGTCTACAACAAACTGGCACCACTTCTGATCGCCCAAGGTCGGGTCGTCCACGTGTGTCGTCACGAGCAGAAGACCGTCACATCGTCCTACATCACCTACGTGATAGATTTCTACCGGCTGAGATGTTTAGAGGTCGACTGTCCTCACAGGACATTCGAAATCGGGCTGCCAATCTCCATTCTCGAGGTCCATATCGTGGGCCAATATTGACGCCCTTTCATCAACGTCAACGTCTGCTGTGGGCCCAACGTCACATCCGATGGACCAAGAGAGACTGGAATCGAGTCGTCTTTAGCGATGAATCTAGGTTTACCCTCAGATTCGCAGACGGCAGGCTTAGAGTCTGGAGACGACGTCGTGAACTGTATGCCCAATGTTGTGTACAGGAAGTCGACAGATTCGGGGGCGGAAGTTGCCTGGTGTGGGGTGCTTTCTGTGGGAACAACCGTTCCCGACTTCTGGTCATCCGTGGAAACCTCACAGCTGTTGCTTACCGCGACCAGGTGCTCACCCCTGAACTCGTTCCTTTCATGGCGGCTCATGGCCCAGGTCTACAGTTCCAGCATGAAAATGCTGAGCCGCATACCGCGATGTTGACACGAAATTTCCTTCAAAAACGCTGGAATCAACGTCATGGACTGCCCATCGAGGTCCCCTGACCTTAATCCAATAGAGCACGTTTGGGATGCACTTGAAGAAAGCTTCGTGGTCTAAGGAACCAACCTGAGAATTAGCAGGAACTTGGCTCTGCCTTGCAAGAGCAATGGCGCGGAATCCTTAACCACGTGTTCACAAGCATCAGGCAGTCGATGAGGAGACAGTGTTTGGCAGTGGTGAATGCGTGGGGCGGCCATACACGATACTGAGAAATTTCGCATTTTTATTCTTGTGACTTGACATTTTGTATACCCATGTTTTGGAAAGGCGGTGTAGCCTAATGGAACTGATTATGGCACTGTCAGTGTATCGAGTACCTCACACATATCTCAGCAATGAACTAATAACAATTTAACCATCTCACCATCTCTTATTCTTTTATAGTGCCCTAAAGAAAGAATGTGAAGTTTCTCTTTTGACTAAGTATATTTGGATTGTCCGACTGCGGAGGGAGAAGAGCAGGACAAATCTTAAACCTCATATTTCACCATCACGTAACATGCTTATAAATTATATAGAGTATATGTACTCACACGTTGCTGAGAATCACAAATTTCCCAATTTTGCTTAAACATAGATTTATTATTTGAGATTGTATTCATTCAAAACTGGATAAATAATAATATAGTAACCCTTCTTTAGGCGAACAACCACTTTAATCTAACCGTATGCACTTGATACATGATAAGTCAGAAAAAATGGTTTTCATGGCACCAATCAACAATTTTGCAAATCATGGAACGAGTCATTTACATGTACACAGCATCTGTCAATAGCAGGTATGGGATCCACAAGATGAAATGACATACTGAAACCTAGGATCCATACTTACGATAAGCTTAGATATTTAAACCAAATTAGACCCCACATCATAGTTTTCTGTTGAATCAATGGTTTGATCCATAGCAAAGTGATATATGACATACCATTCACACCTTATCTCAGGTACCTAACAGACAATGATTAACAACAATCTATCAACAGTCACATGCATAACACAGAGTCTCTTAGCCATCGATTCACTAGCAACGACATACCATTCACACATTATCTCAGATACCTAACAGACAATGGTTAACAACAATCTATCAACAATCACATGCATAACACAGAGTCTCTTAGCCATCGATTCACTAGCAACGACATACCATTCACACATTATCTCATGTACCTAACAGACAATGGTTAACAACAATCTATCAACAATCACATACATAACACAGAGTCTCTTAGACATCGATTCACTAGCAACGACATACCATTCACACCTTATCTCAGATACCTAACAGACAATGGTTCACATCAATCTATCAACAGTCACATGCATAACACAGAGTCTCTTAGACATCGATTCACTAGCAACGACATACCATTCACACCTTATCTCAGATACCTAACAGACAATGGTTCACATCAATCTATCAACAGTCACATGCATAACACAGAGTCTCTTAGACATCGATTCACTAACAACGCCATACCATTCACACCTTATCTCAGACACCTTACAGACAATGTTCACAACAATCTTGCCGAGCACAGTGCAGGGCAATAGCAAGTATCATCCGCTAGTGTCTTTCTGTATGTCTTATCAAGGAGGTTGAACAGAAGAGCTTCCGGTGTTCCCGGCAGAGGGTACTTCTGTTACACTAATAAAAAGTGATTTATGCATACATTGCATCATTTTTTAATAATTTGTTTGTTTGTCTGAGACGAAAATGATCTCAAAATAACGGATGGAGGTGCAAGGATTTTCTATTTGCTGTTTAACGTCCGAATGAGCAATACTCCAGCTGCAAGCCGGCAGTCTGTAAGTAATCGTGTCTGGACCAGACAATCCAGCGATCAACATTATGAGCATCGATCTATGTAACTGGGATACGATGACGAAACGAGTGTGGAGTGTGGACAAGATCGAGACAGATGTTAGCACAGCAGGCGGAGAAAGTATGTCTACACATATACAGACTTCACTATATGTGTGGCGGATTACAGATCACCACTGCAATGAGGATTTTCGACAGTATGGTCCTTCCAATACTTACATACGGCGCCGAGCTCTGGGGATATGAGGTGGTAGAACAAATCGAGAGGGTACAGACAAAGTTCATTACACGAATTCTA